TGAAGATCTGCATGTTGAGCAACTGTTTGAAACGAAGAAAGATTTGTAGGAAGCTGTGCATGTGTTGGCATTGAAATTCAAATTTGAGTTCAAGGTAAAGAAATCAAACAAATCCTTGTTGACACTTGTTTGCGTCGATGACAGCTGCTGTTGGCGGTTGCTAGCGACTAAGATGGATACGAATGAATCATTTTGTAGTTCGTAAACTGGAACATACTTTCGAATTGGGGATTCGTCAAAACGAACACAGACAAGCTCGATTATGGTTTATTGATCGACAGATAATGCACAAGTTTCAGGACCCATAGACGATCTACAGACCTTTAGACATCATTAACGACATCAGGCGAGAGTACAGAGTGGTCATGAACTACCAGAAGGTCGGGAAGGCCAAAGAATACGCGTTGGAGGATTTAATGGGCTTGGCCGAAGAAAGTTATACTAAATTGGCCAGATACTGCCATAATTTGGGGACAACTAATCACAATTCCAGTTTTTTTATTGAGACAGAGGGCGATACTTGCTTTAAGTATTTATTCATGGCTCTTGGACAATGCATTAGAGGATTTAAAAATGCGACGCGACCTGTAAGTTTAGTCGACGGTACAACTCTGAAATCGAGATATGGGGGCAAGCTGATTATTGATACATTACTTTCTTCGTTAGTTGATCAATAATCAAAGGTCTAATCAATGTTGATTAGTTTTTAAAGGGAAAAAGAGTGACTTTACATTTTTTTCATATAAAAAAATGAAAATAAAATAATTAAATAAAAAATATCCTATTACCCACCCCACCCCACGCAACCCAACCCAAAACCAAAACCCCCAAAATGCCGGCACCACTACACTCACCTCCGCCACCAATCTCCGTTGCCTATTTCCCTGATGGGGTCAACGGGATGGAGCTCATAGACAGGGGCGAATCCAGCGTTCTAGTTCAGCTAGGGCGAAGACGTTAACCATTGACCGATGCCCGTTGACAGGTGATATGACCGTGACCGATGACCAAAGAACATTGGGAACAAAGCTTGTTGTCCCACAAATAAAGTAAAAGTGAAAAAGCATACTGTCTCTTCATTTCTATTCTGTAAACTATTAAACTACCTGTCTTAAGAGTTTAGAAGACTAATTTAAATTGTCTTCAACTCGTCCATTCGAAGCCAATTTACTTTTCATGAAAGCCAATGTTCATATGGATGACCACATAACTTGAATTCTAACCTCAAACTATCTCGTCTAAAAATTCAAGTAGTAGTAGAATTCACAAATTATTCATTTAGACTGCCAATAGAACTCACTCTGAAGCTTTATTAGAAGATAATCAGCGTAGAGGAAATTCAAAGAATAAACAAAAAAGTCCTAAATTTCTGGAAATTGGCAAGTAGGAAGAGCAGTAACATTTTGAAATTAATAACAGTCTACTATGATACTCGTATTTGTTCATAATTATTATCAAATTATAAAATTACTTAAATAATGATATGAACGTATTATAATTCCAACAATACCCAAAGTATTTGCTGAGTTTAAAACTCACAAAGAAAATAACATTTTATCAGATTTTACCCATTTTGAACACACACCACTAATTAAAATAATATTCATAATGGACCGCACTCTCTATCAGATTTCTCATTAATGGACACACCACTCTCTCTCTCTCCCCCCTGGCCTGCACCTCACTTTTCAATTCTCTGTTTCTCTCCTCACCTTTTTTTTCCTTCTTTCTGCTTCACACAGAGATATATATTTGTGCGGCTCATGTGTGTGCCTCCCTTTCTCTATCTCTCTGCTCTCCTTCACACACGCAATATATATATATATATAGATCAACACACACATATATATAATTAACAAAGTCGGTGGCTGATCCCTCTAGTATGTTGGTGGTTTTTGGTTAAGCCAAATTCTGAATTTTTCCTTCAATTGGCGGTGGACAACAACGTTCCAGTTTCTTCTACTTACGTCGGCAGCTATGGAATCTTCTAGGCGCAACAATGTTAATTGTAGACTCCATTGTTACTTCTTAGTATCAATTTCTCACCATATCAGGCGCCTCCCTCCTTCATTTCTTCCTGGCGGACGGCGCTCGGCGACTAACTTCCTGAAGCTCTTGGCAGATCCAGCACGGGCGGCCGCGGGGGCTGGCCAGGTGCTGGAGCCGCCCCTGCTCATAGATCGATTTCACACTCAATCGGTTCGGTTCAAAATTGAAATCTTCACTAAAACTGTCTCTAAATTGAAATCAGTCGTCAAACGCCTCCACTTCCCTGGTTCTAAGGTTTACATTATCCACCGAAGAGATGAATTTAGGGCTTCAAAGATTATATAGAGCAAAGCTTTGTCAAACTCAAAGATTGAAGTCTCGTGGAATTTCACAGTGACAAGGCATATGGGAGAGATCTTTGGGGGTTTGAAGGTAAAGAGTGGAGAGGTTACTGATTTGAACATTTCTAGGTTGTTTTTTGCAATTGGACATTAGCCGGCAACCAAGTTTTTGGACGGGCAACTGGAGGTGAATTTTGATGGGTATGTGATCATGAAGCTTGGCACTGGCTTGATTGCGTGATGGGAATGAAGGTGGTGGTGAACGGTGATATTCTAGTAAACTGATCTTTAGTTTAGTTTGGGTGGGGTGAGTGGGGTGAGTGGGGTGGTTTTTTTTAATTCTTTTATTTTAATTGTTTTATATGAAAATGTAAAATTACACATTTGCTCTTTAAAAATTAGTCAACAATTGGTCAGACAATTGATTTTTAGTCAACTAACAGTCAAACTAATGATTTCTGTCCATTTGGACTGGAGTTGCGATTTTTTTTAAAGTTGTACATCTGGTAGCACAAATGAAAGATTTGAGCAAGGTCTGCATAAATATGAAACGTTTGATACCGTAGCTGCAATTTTCCCTAACATTAATGCACAATTCCCATTTTTCCCCACTTTGACCAATGTATTACATTTTTTATTTTAAAAAAAAGGTTAAAAAAATGGCACTATGCCCCATCCTAAAATCTGCCATTGCTCACCTTCCCGTTCAACGTGGTCGCTACCATGACTATCACCTTTCGTCGATAACCACCCTTCTGAAACGATAATTTGAATCCCTTGATGGTTCCGTGCATCTAAACTTAAAATGTTCACTTTCTATAAATTAACTATCACATAAAAAATTTAAAATTATCTTATAAGTATTAAAATAAGTTTTTGAAAAAATAATTTTTTATAATACTAAAATTAAAATAATCAAGCTATTGTTGTAACAATAAGTTAAGCTATATTAAAAATATATATATATATATTTTTACTAAAATAAATACTTACACAAGAAACTACATAATATCACATGACGCTTTACTATTTACTAGTTTAAACCACATTCAACTTTTTCATCTAATATTTTTCTTTCATATTATTTTATGTAATTTATTATGTACTATTTTTATGTATAAGTAGCATAATCCATAATTGTTCTATTCGGTACAAAAGTCAAAATTCTAGTTTAAAACCGCATGTTTTTCGCAAATAAAGGTTAAGAATTAGGAGGCTACGAAGAATTATCTCAATCACTCCTCTCATTTGTTTTTCGTTTTTCATTTTTCAATTTTCAATTTTTTAAATTACTCAATACACACACCCAACCTAATCCATGTTGGGGAGTGCATTTTCAATTAATTAATTGAAATCACAGCACAAATAAATATCATCCTCCACATGTCACATTTATACTCTTTTTTTATTTAGATAAAAATTAATTTTTTAATAGATTTTGATAAAGTTGATAGAATGTGTAGTTAAAAAGTAAGTACTATAAAATTCGTGATTAAAATTAATTGTTAACTTTGTTGTTTGAGTTAGGGTTGGACAAAATTCTCGAACCAAACCAAACTGAATCGAGCGGTTGTTCATAAGTTAAATACCCGAACTGATATCTGAGAGAACCGATGGGTTCGGTTCTAGACCAAGAATCGAAGAATTGAATCTAAATAATTTTTTAGTTTTTTATATTGAGTTAATTAAATTATTTTAATTTTTTTTAAACAAATTAGAAAATTAACTAATTTAGTTGAACAAATTTTAGTTTATTTGTGTTTGTTAATTGTGTTTTTTCAATTATGCTTGTAGNAAGCAATTGATGATTAAATAAAATAGTTGGTAAATATTACCAATACTTAAGAATATTTTATTTTTATAATTTTTAATTTATATTTCGTTTTTTTATGTAGGCTGCTTAAAGCAAATGAATTAATGATATGGATCACCGATATTTTAGTATTAGTGCCCACTTTTTGGTATTTGTATACATTAAATTAATCTTATTGGACAACTTGTTATTTATATATTTTTAAATTGGACTACGTTAATTTGTAAAGCTACGAATGAACATGTTATTAGTTGTATTTATATAGTATTGCTGTAAATGTTAAAAAAATTAATTATGATACGGAACCGAATCGAATCAAACTCGAACAGTTCTATAATTATATTTGGACCCGACGATTCCATTTATTAAATACCCAAAAATTTTGGTTCGGTTCGATTTCAAAACCGAACCGAACCGACCCATGTCCAGCCCTAGTTTGAGCCGCATTATTCAAAAACTTGTTTTTCCCCAAATTTATTTTCAACCACAAACTCTCCCACTAAAATAGTATGCATGTAAATCGAAATCTTTTGCCTACTTTTTAACCACGTATTAACAAAAAAATCCCATTTTTGTGAAAAAATGAGGTCAAGGGTTAAATTTCAATCTACATTTCCAGGGAAACAGTTACAATTGAGTTTGACAAATTGTACTCAGGATCTTCATGGCATACCTTATTTACATGAGCCGACCTAGTAGAGTTGTAGTCACCACCCTTTTGTTCTCTCTTTCTCTCATCTCCTTTCGGTTGCTTGGGATTCAATTTTTCTCTTTATTCCTCAATTCTTTTATTTTGATTTTTTGTCTTGCTTGTTTAATGAGTGCATTGTTGTGTGATGAATTCAAGAACAGGCAATATGGTGACAAAATCAAACAGTCTGCAGAAAAAACCTGCACATGGGAAGATTTTGCAATCCGATCAAACTGATCAAGAAGAATACTCCTTCCGCCTGAGCAACATATCGGAAGCCAGCCCGGCAAATAACAACCACCCTTCTCCGGTAGGCTCCGATTATAGCTCCCCATACAATACTCCATTGGAACAATCCCCTCCATTTTCAGGAGCCTCTTGGGATTCTTCATTTCCAACCTCCTCCTGGGACCAATCTCAATCATCATCTCCATTGTCGAAATCTCCATGGTCATCTCACGTTGCATCAGGAAACCATGAGAATTATTCTTACACAGGGTTAATGGGGTCCCTTGTTCGTGAAGAAGGCCATATTTATTCATTGGCTGCTTCAGGGGACTTGTTGTATACGGGCTCAGATAGCAAGAACATTCGGGTTTGGAAGAACCAGAAGGAGTTTACTGGATTTAAATCAAACAGTGGTTTGGTTAAGGCTATTATTATTGCTGGGGAGAGGATTTTCACAGGTCATCAGGATGGTAAAATTCGGGTCTGGAAGGTATCCGGGAAAGATCCTAGCATTCATAAACGCATTGGTACCTTACCAACATTGAAGGCTTGTATAAAAAGTTCGTTCAAACCCAGCAATTACGTTGAGGATAGAAGGCATCGCAATTCTGTTTGGATAAAACATTTTGATGCAATTTCATCTCTTAGCTTAAACGAAGACAAATCCCTTTTGTATTCGGCTTCATGGGACAAAACTTTTAAGGTTTGGAGAGTTTCAGATTCCAAGTGCTTGGAATCAATCAACGCGCACGATGATGCAGTAAATTCGGTTGTTGCCGGATTTGATGGGCTGGTTTTCACCGGTTCAGCCGATGGTTCTGTCAAAGTATGGCGAAGAGAAATGCAAGGAAAAGGGACAAAACATTTCTTTTCCCAAACGTTGTTAAAACAAGAATGTGCAGTGACAGCCTTGGCTGTACACCTGTCGGCTACTGTCCTGTATTGTGGATCCTCAGACGGGCTGGTTAATTTCTGGGAAAGCGATAAGCTTCTTTCTCACAGTGGCATTTTGAGGGGCCATAAACTGGCGGTTTTGTGCTTAGCCACGGCGGGGAATTTAGTTTTCAGTGGTTCAGCTGATACAAATATTTGTGTATGGAGAAAGGAAGAAAGTGATCATGTTTGTTTATCGGTGTTGAGTGGGCATACTGGGCCAGTGAAATGCTTGGCGGTGGAGGAGGATAATGCCGCAACAGCCGGTGATAAGTCACACATTGTGTACAGTGGCAGCCTCGACAAGTCGGTGAAGATATGGAGGGTTTCGGCTATGGCAGACTCTATGCAACCACCAGTACCACAACAGCCGCATCAAGTGAAGAATATCAATGCGCCGCAAACATTTCCTTCAATTCATAGCTTCTCCTCACATTGTAGCAAAGTGAGCCGAAGGAGAGACTATTAACAGTACATGTACACTGCCTAGAATGACAAGACAAGACAAGAACTTAATTCTAAGGTCGCTCTAAAAAATTTATCAATTGTACTATCCAGTATTATCTAATGTTGCTTACCAAGTAGACAATAACTCTAGTAAGTTAACCCGATTGGAATGCAATTCTGCAGTTGATTGGAATAGCTACATATATCTATGTAGTGCACCTAATTTATTAAACATTTAGCTTTTTATTATTTAAACATTAATTCATCGAATGTTCTTAATTGTTTTTGTAACTATTGTTGAGTTAGTAAATGTATTGAAAGTCATTTGTTTTGACAGTCGATCTTATGTCACAATAAACTGTAGTCTAATTACATAATCTTTTAATGGAGAATTCCTCTACAATTTTATCAAATTAGATTGTTGTTACACCTTGAAATATGGGAGCCTCCACGTAAGCACGAACGTGACAGCGAATGCCAAATAGGCTCCCAATATAGCGACATGTGGCTAATCTGTGCATCCTTCGCCATATTAAGTGAAGGTACGTAATCCACAATCTCTTGCCTCAGACATTATTATCGTCTCTCCGGTCTTTGCATAACAATGCCATCCAGTGTAGACATTGCCAACCAAACGAACTCCTTATTGCCGAAAGATGAGGGCGAAACATTAAGGGAACTGGCCTGCTAAGGTGACAGTGACATTCGAATCCGGGCTTAGACATACTTTAGTAAGGATATGCATTGGTAGCTATGTTTTTGTTGGGGGATATCCTAAAACACATTTGATGCTGCACCTTAGTCATTAGTAGCTATGTTTTTGTTGACTTGAATATGGTGATTTGTTCTATTGACATATGCTATCTATGGAAATGCATCGATGACTAAAAAAGGATTAATATTGTCCTATGCCAAGGTATTCTCCATACGAGGTATCTTTTCACTTGTATAAGGCAGACCGATGTATTTGAATGAGGATAGTTCTGGTTCTGTAGACAAATTTTGAGATTTACTTATTTTTCTTCTTTTTTCCATGATTCACTTGTTGAGTATCCGCTTTATCTTTTCTTTCACACAACAGTTTTATGGGTTTGTACATAATATCAACAGAGGCCGTTGCTTTTATTTTTTATCATAAAAAAAAAAGGGTACTGCACTTTTGGATTGAGTTGTTTTCCTTATTCCTGTACAAATCATGAATTCATGATATTTCATATTTCATTGAGATGCTTTCAAGCCATTACTTAACTAGTATCTCTTAATTTTGATGCCACTTGTATCTTACTTTATAGATTCAAGTTTTTCTTGTTTAAAATTTGTCAATGAGACACCGTCCCCAACCTCTGATGGAAGCTCCTTTTCAATTGGTAAGATTCTCCTGAAGGCAGGCATTTACTCAAGACATGATTCCTGTATATTCGAAATATTGCCTCCACTCAAGTTGTGGATACTGAACCCCGGACTAATAGCCTAAGCAGTTCTAAGGGTGGTACTGCCTTCAGTTCCCCCACCCCACACCAGTCCCCACACAAACACTGATGATTCATTTTCTCAAGAAAATATGAGACAAATTAATAATGGATGACAAGAACTGATGATTCATTTTCTCATGAAAATATGAGACAATTTAATAATGGATGACAAGAAGACTTGAATACATAATTACTAACATTCATTTCTTGTATTTGTACTCGCGATACATCACTTTATTCTATCTTTAGTTTATATGTTGCAAGAGAATTAGGGGTTAAATCGTGGGTAAAGGAATAGATTTGACTTGTATATTAAGCAATTGGCAGTTATCTTCTAAGAGTGACTAAGTGTGACTAAATAATGTCCTTGTTGGCTTTAAATTGAAGAGAAGCTAATGCTTCTTCATGGACGATGGCTGAACTGGAACCTGATTGAAACAGTTACTGAAAATTAGGCAGCCAAAGAAATGTCTTTTGAGTACAATTTTGAACATGAAGTTTCTTTAATTCCAATCTTTTTTCCTTTTTCTTTTTCCCCAAATTATTTTCTAGCTGCTTTAATTCCAAGTAACAGAACTTGGAACAAACTTTTATCATCTATTGACAAAAAATTGACTGATTTTTTTCCGTAGAACTTGAGAGAATTGAACAAGACAATTTGTAGATAGTAGCCCGAAACAAGCAAAATACATATTTATACAGCAGAAAGCACTTTCTTTAAGAACGCAAGTAGGAAGTATCAGTTCTAGTTCATAATTACTATCTGAAATGATATAAATTTTTCAAACCCAATTCTACAAGAACCTCACAAGGTAAAAGAGAAAATCCAAGCAATTAAAAACAAGAATGAACAAATTCACCCACTTGCGGCACAGAGGGACGTGGGGCACAAAAAGAATCCAGTTATAACTTTTCCATCCATGCACTTGATCCTGCTTTGCCCATGAGTAGCAATCATTTCTGCATCGTCTGATTGTACAAGTAGGTAGAGAGACAAAAGCAATAGTACCAGCTCTAAGCCTCGTTATTCAAACTCTTCTACAACAGGTGGAAGGACTCCCTCTTTGACAAAGGTTGGGTCAAGAAATTTAGCCACAAATGCCCACAACTTATAGACATCAACGAAATTAGTCAAAAAGCTAAGAGAAGCAGTAACGACCTCAACTCTGATGAATTCACTTTTACCATCATGTCTGCCATTCTCCATTGGCTTGCAAAGGGTAGTATCATCAAGACTCAAAGACCCACGTTGCTGTTTGGAGCTATCAAGAAGGCGTATGTGACTCAAGATTCCAACACCGAGAGAGATACCATGCGACTCAGCCAGCTTCTGAACAATTTCCGGGCTAATCAGACCTCGGTTCCTATCCCTCACATTGAATGCAACCGCTGCACCTCTTTCATATTTAATCTTTGGCCCATAAATATGAACAAGTGGTGGACTGTCCTTTTCATTTGAACCAGGCAATCGTAATTGCAACAAAGACGTCACAAGCCAATTGATGAGGAACCTCAGTCGGGAGGTGGTCTTGTTGAGACCTAACATGTTTATGTGATCAAGATGCTTGCAAATAATCTCGGGTTCATTTCTGTCGGAATCTTGCCCATCATCATCATATTCCCCATCGCTAATGTAATCTTCATCATCCAGGCTAGTGGCTGATAATTCTCCTGCGTCGACAGTGTGGCCCAGACGAGTTTTGCAATTGTCTTCTGTACTAAAGGATACCCTTCTGCCTCTGCTTCCCAGTTGCTCAGTCTCTTCTATTCCAAAAAATCTGCCACCAGCAATTCTATTTTTTTCTCTCCTTTCTAGTAGTCTAAATTCCCCTTCTGTCTCTCTTCTTATTGCACTCTCCTTTGTCTCAGAGCATATCTCAGAAGCTGAGCCATTCTGTATGCTTCGATGATTCATGTTGTCGTGGCCTGATCCCTTATCGGCAGAACCCTTTGATTTGTTGGTTTCGGGTTCTTCTTCAATTTCCTGACAAGGTTGGTTATTTGGAGTCTTACATTCACAGTCTCTTGCAGAAACTTGTTCCTCTTCAGGAATCTCCTTGTAATGGTCCAAATCTTGAGAGACTGATCGAACAGCAGCATCAAATGATAATACATGGCCATTTTCAAGATGCCCTTGTTTCAATTCCATGTCATACATCGGGCTGCTTGATATATTAGATGCTTTTGGAGAAGTCCTATTATTTTTCCGAGTGGAGAACCAAACCGGTGGCGAGGAAGAGGCCGCTTTGTGTTTGCTTGAATGACCAGCATTTTCCGACCCCAAAGGACTCTGACCCAAATCAATCCACAGCGAGTTATCTGACGATTCATCTTCACTAAATACTGGGCTTTTCATCATCTCCCCTATGGAAATGCTCTCAGTTTCTTCAAATATGGTGCTAGCGCCATCCCTATCAGAACTGTTATCATGCTCCATCTCAGTCTCAAACACATCCCTCACCTGCGCAGAAGTGAATGCACCAGAAAAGGCAGGCAATCGAGATTGTGGGCGAGTTTCAGAGTCAACTTCAGCATTCCTACTGACTTCCTCATCTTCACCAAATCCAGGGAAATTATCCATTGAATCACTCAAGTACAGCGGAAACACAGGAGTGATTTTCACTATACTAGAACCAGTATGCCCCAACTGATTCTGTAGGCTTCCCATCACAGATTTCTTGATTAGAAGACATCCAAATCCAGTGGGGTCATAGCCAAACACCCTATAAAATGATGTGATGATGAAATCTGGCCGGAATAAAGATAATCCAAGGGAATCCATGTCCTTAGGGCCCAATGCCCCTGCATCAAGTAAGACATGCCAATTATTCTGTTGAGCCAGGGCCATCCACTGATACGAGTACTTCGCACCAGTAACTCGAGATTGGACAGGAAACACAAAAAGACCAGCTGCAGAATCTTTCTTCCTCCTTTTTTTGTTCGAAATTTGCTTCCTCAGATCAGTCGAACAGAGCTTAAGAGTAGGCCATTTAAACCATGCACTATGAACCTTAGCACCTTTCTCTCTAGCACTTTGAGCCATCCAATTTACGGACTGGCTCTCATGATCAAACATAGTCAACAACCTTTTGTTTGTGTGGAAAGGGTATGACTCAGCTAGCAATTTAAAGGCAGAGCCACGGCTCACAGTAAAAACAAGGCCATATTCATTCTCAGGGATGTTCAAATAATCCATTATTCGAGTCTTCATATCATGTTCCACTGTCCCTTTCTCAGCACCCCCATACAAAGCATGATTGCTCAAATTGGCAGTAATCTCAGACAAACTAAAAGTAGATGATTCCCAATAATGAACAGTTTGCAGCAATGAAAACAACCCAAATCCACAATAATCAAGGCATACCTTTGAACCTGCACTGGAGAGGTGTGAATACTCATCCGATCTCAGTAGATCAATCCTTTCGGATGATTGGTACTTTGGGTACATGGTAAGGAACTTGGAGAAGGCCTCCTGGAGCTGCAGAATCGAGTCTGGAGACTGAAATGTGCGCTCTGCAGCAAGAGCAGTCGCTCTCAAGAATTCTTTCTGGGCATTTAACCGGGCAAGCGACCGCGATCTGCCCAAGCCCTCGTCTTCCTTGCCCATGAATTCAGACTCCATGTCTTGGGACTTAACAAGGGACCCATCTTCAGATGCTTCCTCAAGAGCCTCCCTGAGCTTGTGCTCTAGCAATTTTCTTAGAACTGATGGGTTCCTCCTGATATCCTCTGTTGTATGTTTAGACCCATCTCTTCTTCTGCTCTTTTTGTCCAAGATTAGAGCAGCGCAATGAGATAATGGCTTCCATAGTGAGAGATGCATGAAAGCTTTTCTGTTTAAAATCAATCGGAGAGGTTTTCAGAAAGAAGACACTCATGGCAAAACGAAGAAAGTGGTGGTTTAGCCCATGTAACAGCAAACCCCATAAAAGCTGACTGTTTCAAACCCTAATTCCGAAAAGCAAAAGGAATCAAAGCTAAAAGCTTCCACCAGACTAAACCTTTGTATTCAACCCATCTTAAGGAGGGAAAGTCTCAGAACATTTGCTTTAAGCAAACATTCAAATACATAGACCTGAATTTTCGGCTGAAAAAGAACTGTGATTAAGTTTGAATAATAATCAATACTGGACCAGATCAAGAAAACCAAAGATTCGACCTTTCTTGAAGATTTAGTTCAGATGAGACAAGGGTTGAAACTGTGACCTGAGGAATACAAGACTAATTCGGTAAAAAAATATCCACAGATTTTAGGGTGCAGTGTGTGAAAATTCAGTGAATTTTTCTCCAAACGAAAAAAAGAAGGGGAAGGAGAAAACCCACGAGATTCAATATTCAATAGCCAAGATTCCAAAGATTCAACCTTGAATATAAATTTGTAGACAAGCCAATGCAAAAGAAGAATGAGAAAACCAAGAAAAGCCCATAAACAAATACCAGATAGATCCCAAAGGGATAGTTAATAGAAGACACCAGAGGAGAATCCTAGACAGACTGCTGCAAGAAAAAAGTTCGATAAGACTGTTTGAAAATGGCTCACAGTTATTGGCTGTGTAGATAAAAAGAAAGACCCCCTCAAAGAGCTATATTTCCCCTTTCTCGTGTCCCAGCTTTTTCTGCAAACAAATTAAAGGCAAACCTTCCACAACAACAAATGCACATTTACTTCAGTTGTGTATCCAAAAACGTACCAACGCTATTGATAATTGATTACCATTACCCCACAGTTCTCCCTCTACCTCAGCATCTCTCCCTCTTTCTCTGTGACATTTGACTCTTACCTGGCTGTGGAATTGCTTATCGCAGGTTGGCCTTTATGCCTTAAACAAACAGTAAGCAAATGACATTGACTTTCACTCCCCAATAAGCTTTGATTTGTTCTATTATTATTTATCAAATCTTGAATTAGATTTTATTGGATTCTTGATTATACAAAACTTTGTTGTGTATAGCCAAGGCGGGACCTACCATTACTCCAAGACCCTTTCTTCTTACCGTGATGCTCAAAGTCAAATAATCAGTTGGCTTGTAAAAAGCTGGTTTAAGTCCAACCACTTCTTGTTTGTCTCTGGTAAAAATAAGGGGAAAATTAATTGATTTCTCATTAAGAAACAATAATTTGTTCTGCCTTTGGATTATTATAGTTAATTTTTGGTTGACAATTATTGATAATAACCTATTTACGCTTACCTATCAAAGTTAGTTGTGAAAGTGCCAAATTGCTAAGATTGTTAAAGTTGACCGTCTAACAAATTCATTTAATACAACTTCATGATTGATATAAGCTAGCCAAAATACATGTTTAAGAAGTAAAATTGAACGTAACGATCTAACACTATTGTAAAACAAAACCATTATAGACTCGAAAAAATATTTCATACTGTATTAAAATATTATTTTAGTAGTCTCAATAGCGGGATGATACTATAAAAAAAAATCAATTGAAATTTTAAACAAGACAACCCCACAACCCCTTGAGATGATCTTGCACTTTAAATGTTCAAACCAAGATAAAACAAGCAAATGGTTTTGCCGAATTAGTTATTTTTTCGCAAAAATATTGTAATATTGCTCATTGTGAGCACATTCCCATCAAGACATTATTCCATATTCAAAGGCACAATGTGCTTAATGGATATTAACTTCACATTAGCATAATGCTGTCCAGATTAACAAACAATATTCCAATAAGCTCAAATGGTCAATTTGCCAGCAAATATGTTACAAGTTAGGCCAATTCCCAGAACAAGAATATGATCATATGGTCCCAACAGAGCCAATTAAACAAAAAGTTTCTCTAGATTAAATTAAATAATTCATTTCTTTTTACTACTTTAAATAGTTAAATAAACAATATTTTGATTAATCTTGGGTTTCCAATTCTTTCCTCAATTTGTGCGCTTAGGATTCCCTGCTGGATATGTGGACATGGTGCGAGACCCTAAACTGTCACTAAAAAGATGGAAAAGAAAAGAAAAAGGTCAAATAGACCACTATTTTAACTTTTTTTTTGGATACACCCATTTGATTGTTGACTTTAATGGCTCTTTTTATCACATGTTTTTTTGACTTGGTTAAGCATGTTTGTGTATAGTTTATAATCGGAATAAATTATAAATAAATAAATTATTTCGATTGGAATTATTTGTAGAATGCCTTCAAGATTTCTTTAGAAGGTGAATGTCACTTGTTGACATCGATAACTTGTATCGAGTAATTCTTTTGCTGTTGTTGTCAGCAGTTTTGGACCGATCCTCTCGACATTTGTGATGCAAAAACACAGGTTAAAAACAAAATAAAAATAATGAAAAAAAAAACACATAGTGTGCTCAACTAACGTAGCCAAAAACAATTAATAGGGACATTGGTACAAAACATGGACCGTTACACAATGACAGACATAATTAATGCCAACACAAACTTTTCCAATGCTGTCATTGTTGTGCATTGGTCCCGGTAAATGTATTTTATGGCTTACAGTTCAATTTCAATGTTAGCTGTTTTTATTTTTATTTTTACAAAAAATTACATTAATGCTTCGTGAGCAAATTGACTTAGCACTTGTTTGAGTTCAATTTTTTCAAAAATTCATTTTTTTTTCAAAACTCATTTTTAACCACACATTTTTCAATAAAATAATTTTACACGTAAATCAAAAAAAATTTCTTCCTTTTAAACTACACATTCTCTTAAAATTACTATTCTAAAATGCATTTTTCCTCAAAATGAAACTCGGACGAAGACTTAATGTTTGTTTGACGGTGCTTTTAAGTGTTTACAAATTAGTCAAAAATCATTTTCAAGGACATTAAATACGTTACGTTTATCTACTTTTTAACTAAACATACGTCGCTAACCAAACAAGCACTAATGTTTAACCCTATATAATTTTCAAAATATCCAAAGAATTCCTTTTGATAATTACTTTTGAAAACATATTTTCTCTTTAATGGGTTTTAAACCTTTTTGCTTAAAACAGTGCAAAGATATTTCTCTCAAAATACTGTTTCGATCCTCCTTTTTAAATATTCATTTTTTTCTCAAATTAATTTTGAATCACATATTCATGAGACTTGTAATTTTTATCCAACTTTCCAATAACGCATTTTATTAATTTTTATTGAAATCTATCAAAAATTTAATTTTTATCGAAATTTACTAAAAATTTATTTTTTATCCAAACCAAATATGGACTTAGAATGTTTTCACCCATGACGTTTTAACATTGTTTCAAGCTTTATTTTAATATCTCATTTCAATCACCATCATGTTTGGCTTTGCATCTTTCGTACAAGAAAAAAAAAAGTTTTCATTTCGATACTTTCGAAAAACTCAAACAAAAACTAATCTCGATTTTCCTTTCTTTTTTTTTCAGTTTAAAATTAGGAAAAATTGCAGTCACGATATCAAACATTTCATTAAAGAGCAGACTTTGTCCAAATCTTTCACTTGTGCCATTCACGGTACCAAACCTTTCAAAAATTCACACCTGAAGTCCAAATGGATGATTACTGTTAGTTTGACTGTTAATTGACTCCATAAAATAATTTAATCAAATCTACAAAGGACAAAATTGTAACCTTACAATATTTCCACTTAAATAATGAAAATATTAAATAAAAGGAAGAAAGTAAAAAAAAAATGTCCCTCGCAAATCCCACCCTGAAAGTCCGCCGCTGCCGCCACTTACTATCGGCGCCATTGACCTCTAGCCACCACTACCAATATCACCGTTAGCACCACTGGGATTTCCATCTTTGTCTATGTTTTTTTATCTTTAACTTTAATGGATACTATGGTGATGACATCAAGAAGAACCAGAAACACGAGGAGAAGTCACCAAAAAATTGGTAGACGTTATGGCTAAAAATCTCTAGATGTTGATGTTCTAGGAGATGGATGTAAATAAAATTACTTCTCAACAATTGCCAACTTTCTAACCCACACATTTCCTCCGTGTTTCTTCTCCACTTTCCTTACATCCGTTTTCTTTGACAAAGTCTTCTAATTCAAGGCAACAAAAACTATTTCTTGTGTCAAATTTTGCGAAAACATAACCTAGGCATGGATTAATACCTCCACCCATTTCCTGTTTTCGATTTTTAGTCCTTTTATTTGAATTATTGAACACGGTTATTGCAATTGAATTCCAACTTTAATTTTTTCCATGGCAGATCCCATATGTTAAACCAATGAAGAAAGAAATTCATAGTGGAAACCTCAAGAAATATTAGATTTTCAAGCTTAATAAACAGAACCCAGAAATTATGTACTGAAAATTTGGGGTTAGGGTTTGAGGGTGCCCTTTGCACCACTTGAATTATTGTGACTGTGGCTGTCGATGAAGGTAGTGGGGGTGATGATTTTGGGGTGTGGGTGGATGGAGAATAAGAACATAAATAATTGATTTTTAATTTTAATTATTTGTTTTTAGTTATTTTATAATAAAAGAATGTAAAGTTATCATCTTTACCTTTTAAAATTAGTCAAAATTATTGATAAGATCAATTATTTGGTCAACTTACAGTTAAACTAACAGAAATCATCCATTTGGACTTCAAGTGGGAATTTTTGAAATGTTTGGTATCGTGGGTGACACAAATGAAAAGTTTGGGCAAAGTCTGCTACTTAATGAAATGTTTGGTACCGATGCTGCAATTTTCTCTTAAAATTAAGCCAAATATGAGTTACCATTCCATTTTGTTTAATGAAAGATATCGTTCCATATTTGCTATGAGTATATTTGTTAAACTGAAAGTCGAAACCTTATTCCTTAATGGCTCTTTGCCAAGTGTCCAAACAACCTAGTTATTGAAGTGATTAAATCTCTTTCCTCAATTAGTCAAAATCTCATACATGAGGTTACTTTAAATTTTAAATAAATAAATGTATCATGTCTTAAAATTATAACATGATTTAACTAGATATTAGAGCAATATAAAGCCTCGATATCGTCTATTAATAAAAATTGTGTAAATATCAGACTACAAACGAATCCAACATGTAAATGAGACATCGTGTTGAAAATTATAAAAGACGCGATCACATCTCTAATTTATTTAATTCCTTAATATAATCTTTTAGACTAGTATTTGCAAACTATGTCTTGACAAATACATCCATTGAATTCTTCTCAAATACAATTCTACGTGTAACACCATTAATTTATATTCTAATCTTTGATCAACATGTAATAATGCAACATTCCTTTCAATGGATAATTATTTTATGGTCGATGTCCCTTTCCATTATGATAAAGCTTTTCTCAAGGCGACACCAATTGCTTTTCGTTTTCAATAAATAGTACTCCTTTAGGATTAAGATCAACTCTAAGTTAGTCAAACATTGGATCACATATCATTATTAACTTTTAAATTATCAGAAAACTTAATTTATTGTAAAAGAATGAATTTATTATCTTCAACACGTTATCTCACGTGCAGATCAAATTCATTATACTACGAAAGTTAGGTGCAATTTTTTGTTAGAAATTAATAGTAATTTCGATTGAAGAAAATGTTATATATTTATAATGCAAAGTTATTATTTAATAATAAATAGGTACTCTTATTTAAAAGTTTTTAATAAGAAAAATTAGTAACAAGTATAAAACTAAACTTATACTATATAAATGAAGAATTTTAAGGAATTTAATCAATGTGTTGGTGACGTATTATGACACTACTTTTTAAAAAAAATCGCATGAATAGCGTGTCGATGACCAGGTGCGGATCCAAGATTATGATTCGGGGGGCGAGATAGAATTACGTAAACAATGAACAAAAGAGAAGGCAAAAGCAACAATAGAAATTTGCCTCGACATTTTCTTCTATAGAAATTTCCTCAATGCATGGTTTCTTTGTGTCAACATTTTCTTCAATAGAAATTTGAGCTATTTCTAATGTACCTTATTAAATTATCTCAACTAAAAACTTGAGCTATTTCTAATGTTACCATCTCGTTGTAATCCTATTATATTAGACGTATCTTAAGGTGATTATATGAGTAAATAGAGGTTCGATAAAGCACTAACACTATACTTTATTAGAGTTTAAATTTGAACTAACTTCAGTTTAGAATGATATGGAAAAAGGTGGTCTCTTTATTACTTTATTTTCCCTACGCGAAACAACTTTCCCTTTTTATTAATTTTACTACGAATATGTAGAGCAAATTATGGGATGCTCGCATGGACTGGGTTGTGAGAATCCTATCGGCCCATAATACAATAGAAAATATGGAAATTAGGTCCCCTACCCTATCAAAATAAAAAATTAGAAAAATAATCTTAAAACTAATTAAAGTAATTAATCCCGTAATTACGGGCAAAACTTCCAAAATCCCCAAAACTCCATAAAGTCCCACATTCATCGCCCGCCATCCACTTTAGAGGCAGGCGATTACCAACACAACACCGCCGTCGCCGCAAACACCCCAGCAACCACCATCGCCACAAACACCGTCGCCGCCGCAACCACCGCCGACCATCAACAACTGCCACCTGCACAACACTACCAAACCACCAAGAACTGCCACCTGCACCACACGATCTCCAACAACAACAAAAAAGGACCACCACGGCACAACCGCCGCCTGCACCACATCACAACAAAAAAACCCTCCCAACACCACCACCGTCCCATACCGGACCACAGCACAAAAAAAATAAAAACCAAATCACCACACCGCAACCACACAACTGCACCCAATCATCGAGCTCAGCACCATCGAACCTAACCACCGCACCGCACACCACCATCGCACCCAACACCGCACCACAGTACATCACCACTGCACCTAACCACCGCACCGCACCGCACCACCGTACACCGCAACCACACTGCATCGCAACGGCAAAACCACCGCCGCACCATCTGAACCCATCGTCATCTGAACTCGTCAGATCTAACCAGAGCCATCGCTTCTATGTCATGTTGCCGGAGATGACGATATCACTATCAAAGCTTAGAACACGGGGATGATGCCGCCGAACTCAAATCGTGTTGCGTCGACTCCTTCGGATCAAAGCCGCTCTCAAATCGACGGGCGATGGATTGTGGTGGGCATGGTGGCGGCGTAGTGATTGTGGGCGGTGACTGCCGGAGAAGGGAGACGAGAGAGTGAAGGGAGAGAGATTTATGTTTTAAATTGATTTTAGGGTTTTGATGGGTAGATAGGGTAGGGGTGTTTGTATATAAATTAATTCATAATATTATTATTAATAATAAAATATTAATTTACAATAATTAAATGAATATCTGATTTTTGTATAATGAAACTTTGAACCTGATTTTTGAATATTGATTTTGAAAAGTATGATTTTTTGTAATTTTCCCAATTAGTAATTGGAGAAGCAAATGATTAGCACTCATTTTGTTTAGAATTTCGCTTTTCGATTTGTAGCATGTTTTACATATAAATAAAAATATGACAAATAACTTTAATCTTAATTTAAGCTAATCCAATATTCTAAGTTTAAAATCACTATCTTCACATTCAAACACACCCCCAATATAGATCTAAAATGTTACATTAGCTTACGTTTAGTGTTAAGATTATTTGTCAAATTTATTTGTCAAATTCATTGATAAAATGAACAACATATATGTGTGTACGAATGATCTATTGAGTACCGATGCCCATCTTATACTAAATACTGGTGACATGCAGGTGGATAAATTTATGNTAATTAGGATGAAAATAATATAATTAATATTATTAAAACCTGATTTTTGAAAAGTAAAATTCTTGATATGATTTTTGAAAGTGGGAATCTAAAAGCAAGGTAGGGTGTAATTTCTCCATAAAAAATTAGAAAAATAATCTTAAAACTAATTAAAGTTCTTAATCCCGTAATTACGGGCAAAACTTCCAAAATCCCCAAAACTCCATAAAGTCCCACATTCATCGCCGGCCATCCACTTTAGAGGCAGGCGATGATGACTGAGCAGGGGCTGAGGAGGATTGAGATGTAGCTTTAGCCTTAGCTTCAGCCACTTCATCCTCTCTTTTTTTGGCTAAAAATTCTAATCATCGCATCAACAGGAGTCGTCTCTCCTTCGTTAATAACAATAGCCGCCAATATTTCATCATAGAAAATCCCAAAATCCATATCAGCTTTATCAAATTCCACAACAACAACAGATTCACCCTTTGACAATACTTCACCCTTTTCAACCGTCCCAATTCAGAAGAGAAACATGTTAATGTCGATGAGCTTCCGTTTTCTACATTAGATGACATTTTCACGTATGTTCTCAGTTTTTTTCTAGTTTACGGAATAAATGTGAACTTTGTGGTTTTCAGATAATAATTCGATTTAATCCAAGTGATTTCTTATGTTCAGATATCTTTCATTTCTTGATTTGCTGCAGTATGAATACAAACTTGATTTCTAAGGCCGACTGCCGACATCTACTTGAATCATGACAGACAGGTTTTTGAGTTACCTAAAGTTTTTGAATTTGTCGTTATTAAGTGTGAACATGGATGTTTGTTGAACATTACTATATTATAGAAAATAGTAAAATAGAAAACCAACTTATAGGGTGTGGAAAATCAGGACATGTTTGAGCCAAATTATTGTAGAATGATAATGAAAAATATAGTCGTTATTGGAGTCCACATAAGAGATAGAACATTCGAATTTAAATGTTGATGTGATAGATAACGGTCATATTTTTCATTTTAATGAGAAAATAATGTAAATCAAACGGGGGCTCAAAAGAAAGTCAATCGTTTGTTGAACATTACCATATTGTAACAGATCATGTGTTTTGCGTGCAGACAGTAAGGTGATTTTGAATTATTGACACCAGCATAATTTGTCACTTTTTTTTAAAATTCCTACAACTACTTTTTGAGTGTTTGTCACTTTTTTGTTTCGAATTTGTCACTTGTTTTTGAATTTTCGTCACTTCTTTTAATGTTGTCACTTTTTTTATTGTTCTGTCACTTTTTGATCATTTATTTATTATTATTTTTTTAATTTCTATAAAAAATTTTAGTGTTCACTTTTTTTTTTTCATGACATTTTTTTAATTGTTTGTTACAATTTTTTTTTTTTAGCTTCTGTCACTTTTTTGAATGACAACATAAAAAGTAATATTGTATACTTTTTAACAAAAAAGTCTCAACTAGGCCCAGTGGGGGCCACCACCCCCACTCAATTTTTATATTTTTCCATTTTTCTTCAGATTTTCATATTTTTTTGTCCAAATTTATTTAGGATTTCAGATTTTTTTTCAAGGTTTTTTTTGTTTTGCCCCTAGGGTAGATTGTGTCACTGTCTTTTTCTGAGTGTTTGTCACTTTTGTGAAATTCTGTCAATTTTTTAGTTATTATCACTTTTTTTTATTGTTTGTTACTTCTGTTTTTTTTGAATTTTTGTCGGACAAATATAAATTTTTAATAAAAGTGACATTTAACTTTAAAAGTGACATGAAATAACACTTAACTTTTTAAAGTATTATTTACTTTTTAAATACTTTTCATATGATTTTTCAAAAGACATTAAATTTTTTTTGGAGGAAATTACAAAAGAATCGGGCATTTAAGTTTTCTAATTCAAAACTCAGGTGTGAAGTTTATTTTGAGCTTGCTTAGTAGAGATTAAAATCGGATTAAAATTGAAAAATTAGTCGTTATTGTTGACTTTTATTAAATGAGTGGAACCCAATAACGACTATATTTTTAATTTTAATTGGATTAAAATTCCTCCCAAACAAGCTTTTAATCAAAAATCAGATATTAATTGAATTATTAATTATATTAACCTAAATCACTGTCTCTCATCCTCATCTTCTCTCTCATCTTTCACGCGTCGTGCCGCCACGGTGTCGAGATGATTTTGGGCGTGGAGATGGCAGCCACGCCAGATTTGGTTGATTGTTATTTGTTGTTGGTGGTGGTTTCCATGGTGTGGTGATATTTGAGTGGTTTGAGTGGCGGTGGTGGATTGGGCTGCTGATGGTGGATCTAGAGTTGGCGGTGATGGATTTGGTCGTGGTGATGGTGTGCTTTGCGTCTTGATTTGGTGGTTGTGCTAGAGAGGTGAGGTGGTGGATTTGGCTCGTTGCTGGTAGATCGAGATTTGGTGGCTGTGCTGTAGAGGTGAAATGGTAGTGGTGGAGGATCGACTGCACGTGGTGGATCTCTATTTGGTGGTTGTGTTGTGGAGGTGAGAGGTGGTGGTGGTGGATTTTGCGTAACGTAGTGGTCGTGGTGTTTTTTTGCCATGTGTGATTTGTTTGCAATGGTGGTGGTAGTGGTTCTAGTGGCCAGTTGGCGGTGGTGTTGATTTGTTTAAGGTGGTAATTGTGGTTCTGACAACGACAATGGTACTGCTAGATGCAGTGTTGAGGTGGTGGTTGTAAGTGTTGTGCAGTGGTAGTGTTTGACGGCGGTACTGTGTGCGATGGTGGTGGTGGCGGTGGTCGTTTTGGCGGTGATCGTAGGTGGGATGAATGGGGTGGGTGTGTGTGACCAATTATTTGGTTGATTGTGACCAATTATTTGGTTGATTTTTGACAAATAAATAATATGAAACCTAAAAATTGTGACCATGACTCACAATTTATTAAATTGTAATTGAGTTGTCACCAATAAAAATTTTGATTTTGTGATCGATGAATAATTTTTGGCTTATAAAATTTTCGATTCGTGACCAAGAAATAACATACGACTTAGAAAATTCTTGATTTATGACCAAAAAATAAGTTGTAACCAATAAAATTTTCGACAATCTATAAAAAAAATTATTTATGATCGAGAAAAAAATTTTGACCAATAATTTGATAAATTGTGACCGAAAATTAGTTTTTGATTAATTAATTAGATAATTGTGATCAAATTGCATATATGAGCGTGTTTGGGAGCAATTTTTGTTGGATTTTAATCAAAATTATAGTCGTTATAGTCAACCTATGGGCTCCACCTGTGAGAGGGAAAGTAAAAAATGGTGACTGATTTGATAGTTAACGGCTAGAATTTTGATTAAAATCTTAATTAAAATTTCTCCAAAACAGGGCCTATATTTAATTAATGAAATATATATTTAATAAATTAATTTATTGAATTTATTATATTTAAATAATAAATATTTTTAATTAATTAGCTAAATACTTTATTTTTGTATTTTATAAACTTAAAACCTGAATTTTGAATTGTGGAAAAACTTGAACCCTGATTTATGAATAAGTTGCCCAAATTTCAAGTATTGGGCCTCGATCCCCTATTCTGCATTGGGCTCATAGAATTATTAACGTTTGAAAAGTTCCCTTGAGCTTGCAAATCTGAAGTAAAACACAGGTGACAGCCTTATTATGAGCTAGACTTCCTTTCATCTAGCTATGATTTGAAAATATAATTTGAAAAGTTACACTTGTACGCTCAGCCAATCAAACATGCTCTCATCAATCTAAAGAAGAACAATTCAGTCCTGCAATATCCGAATAATTATAAGCATAATTTGAAAAGTTACACTTGTACGCTCAGCCAATCAAACATGCTCTCATCAATCTAAAGAAGAACAATTCAGTCCTGCAATATCCGAATAATTATAAGCAACATGCCCAATTTACTTGCATTGACAGCAAAACAAAACTTAAGTATGTAGATGCCCCTTTACCTACAAAAGAATCATCAATACTAGTCTATCAAAAGCCAGATTCTTTACATGACAAAAAACAAGGGATCATTTTCAGTCTCATGGCATCGTCAGCACCTGGTCAAATCCAGACTTGCATTTTTCATCATACGCCTCTGCCTCAACCTTCCAGCAACACTATCAGATGTTAGTTCAGTGGTGCAAGCACGCTTCTTTCTGGATTTTGGACTCGTTTCAACAGCAAGAAAACTATTCTTGTCCACCATGCACGTGATATCCTCTTTCTTGAGTTTTTCAATTTCAGATATTGACACACTACTGCTGGAGCAGGGAAAGGGAGAATCGCTCACTGAGTCGGGGTCTTTCACTTTCATATTACTCTGATCATGTTCTGGGGCAAGAAAATTCTCGTTGTCCACAATGTAGATTTCCTCTTTCTTGTGATTTTCATGCTCTAGTATAGATACACCTATATTCATATTGTTGGACTGGTAAAGAGGAGAACCGGTCAATAATTCCGGATTTTTCGGTTTCCTACTGTCATCATCATGTTCCCTGTCATCTGGTGCAGCCCCTTTAGTCTCACCCTGTTCGGTATTCAAGTATATTACCTCAACTTTTTCATCATTTGGGATAATGTCTGTTCTATTTTCTTCAAACTGAGGATCGATCCCTTGACATTGACCATCAAACTTAGAAAGATCATCCTCAGCCAGTGTTGCTTGGGTATCAGAAAAGGGGAGTGATCTCTTGGCAGAAACTGGAACTTTAGTGCGCACATTCTCATCTGACCGTGTGTTTGAGCGTTGAGTTTGAATAAGATAATGTGCCACCGACTTGAAACCAAGGCTTGAAATCTAGAACAAAAAGATATTTCAAGTTTAGCTTTTCATTGCACTTTGTAAGTAGAGAAAAAGGACAATCCAAAAAGTAGCTGCTATATTTACCTTTCTGTAAAGTGTCCCAGTAGGAGGCCACCCCTTTGCTTGCCGGCACAAACTACAGTTGCAAATGCCGCGGCAAACGGGGCAAATCCAGTTTGGATTTTCCAGTGTTTCAAGCACATTCTCCCCATATCTGTTAAAGAATGTTAGGTAGACTCAAACTTTAGACTATAATCTACGCCATCATCACACTAGGGAATAAATAAAAGAGAGAATCAAACGGACCCTAAATAACACATGTCAATCAATTAGAAGAGAGAAATAGTTCAACCTTACGTAAAAAAGTGTCGGAGCATAAAAGGACAGTAGATCCTTTGTTATTGAAGGTAAATTGTAAATAATTAGCATAATAAAGACAAATCTATGAAAATAAACTCGTGGTTTCCCCACCATCAATATGCTAATCACGCTAAAAAGGTTGGCAATACAGGCGGAATAACAAAGTAATTTTTACATATGTTAAGTGGCCCAAGACCATGTTATACCTCATATATAAACAATCTCCACAAAACTGTCCTTGAACCATGTTGCATTGGCTGCAGTGTGTACGATAGCCAAGAGTTTTCTGCCTGCAAAATATCGTACCTGCTTATTAAGTGCATGTCTGATAAGTGAATAAATAAAATTTAAGTGATTATAAGTCGTGGATCCTACAAAAATGTGTGGGATAGTGGGTAGCAGTGTATGTTTTACCAGAAGTGATTAAATTATAATCACTATCCATACATGCTGTAAGTATGCATAAAATAATCCAAGTAAGTTTTACCAAACTGAAGAGGGTATTCATAGAAATAACGTAACACCATGCATGTTAAAAAACAAATATACAACTTATAGTTTTCAAGGCGTTAAAATGAAATGCAAAGAAAAACATAAAGCTTTAGAACCAAACTGAAGAGGGTATTCATAGAAATAATGCAACACCATGCATGTTAAAACAAATATACAACTTATAGTTTTGAAGGCGTTAAAATGAAATGCAAAGAAAAACATAAATCTATAGAACCAAAAACCAATTGCCTTCAGATTTATGAGTCAACAGGAAATGCCCCTTTTACTCGAATAAAAAATACAAAGAATCAACTCAACATACTTGTGATCAAATCTTAGTATGCAAAAATGTGTAAACATGTCATTCCTCTTCAAAAATTTAATCACATGCAATATTTTACCTAGTTGAATATGACAGTACATGTAATAGCACCATACTTGCAAAATCTAGTGAGAAAATTGGAAATACAACATATAATTAAAGCCGTGACTGTATTCCTTTTAAGGAGCTCGATAAAATGAAATTTCAAGGGGGTTATCAATTTTGAATGTGTCTAATTTCAATTTTAAAGCCCTAATTCTACGCAGAATATTAAAAAAAATAAAAAATAACACCATTATGTAGATCCAAACACATCAATATGCCGAGGAAAGTGGAACACCCAAATCCCTTTACTTTTTCTTTTTTTTATAAAAGGCTAGGCAGGTAGGCTCATCACAGCTCATACCCCTCAGTCCCGTCCAGCTGGGTCTGTCTGGAGGGACAACCAGTTCACATCACGGCCCATTCCGGATCTAGCTGTGCAGGGCATTGGAAGTGCCAGGATTGCCCGACAAATTTTGACACCTTTACATGGGGGTAACAAAACTAATGTATAGATAAGAAGGGCACTTCAAGCAAGTAGTATTAGCTATCTAAATAATTCAAACATTTGATTTCCTACCTGCATTGATGACAAGTCTTCCCTCTGACCGGATCATAAATTCGCTTCCCATCTTTTCCATATCCATCCACAAAACAAGTCCAACTCCGTTCAGTGTTTCCCAGCAACTTCTCATGTTCCTCCGTATAAATCTCAGGCTTTGATCCCTGTTCTCTAAGAAAATCATCCTCGAGTTCCAGAGATTTGTCTTTCTTTGCCAAATGCACTTCAGAGTAAGTAACTGGGGTTGCATTCTGCAGCCTATTGAATAAAGAGTGAAAAATGAAAAGCATGTATTAGTAGTGAAACTCATTTATAGTAACTAAAAACCATACGCGTACATGCTTAAACACTTGCGGAGGTCTCAAAGTCATATAGCTTTTAATCACGGCAGAGGGATACAAACAAATCGGGTATGGAGCCAATATTCGTGAGACACTGTGAAAATGAAAAATACCCTTCTTTTAAAGTTATCTATCATATGTCTTCATTATTTATTCAGTTTATCACAATTCAAAATATCCCTGCTTCTAAAGACCGAAAATTTATCCGATTCATTTTGCAGTTTCTTTACATTCGTCTGTAACAGTAATTAGAAGGAATCCATTTGTAACGGTAACTTGGACAAAAAATCTGTAGTAGCTGGATGTTAGAATTTGATTTTTGAAGTTCGACTCATGAGTTCTGTATGCAAAAGAGAAGAGGAAGAAAAAAGAACCTAAAAAGTTCGCATCCTCAACTCAACCAAGGTCGTGTAAAGGGACCACTGAGACTGAATGTCTATCTTTATATTCACATATATTTAAGTAAAAAAAGAAGCTATTTTGATTTTTAAAACAATCTTGAAGAAGTCAATTTTAATATTGAATTTTTCTAGATTTCACACTCTCCTTAAATAAGGGGAAAACAAAAGGTCTAAAACGGAGAAATATGTCATAAACATCCATCGAAATCCCATGACCTTTATACTTTCATTGGACAAAAAGATACAAAAAAGGAGCATTAAAAAAGGACCAAAAAGAGACTACAAATAGTGATCAACAATTAATGAAACCATAAAACCCATTCAACTTCGCCAACCATTCACAGACGGCAAAGAAAGGAAACCATGAAGTGCTAGTTCAAAAGTATATCTAAAAACCCATTAAAACACTTCAACATATTCATAGTTTCATACACAAATGGAACAGAAAGGAACCCATGAAATGATAGTTCAAAAGAATATATAAAACCCAAAAAAATACTTCACGGTTCATAATATTACTCATACGCAAACAGAAAAAAAAAAGTTCTGGCATTGTAATAACAGATTACCTGGAGGATCGGCGGACGGGGCCGGAAGGAGGCAAAGGAGAGGGACTCCGAATCTGAGGGATTTTGCGATGTTTGGTAATTTTGGGAGTGGGCTTAAGGGACTTCACTTTTAGAGAGAGATCGAGAATCCCAAGCTTTTGCATTCTTTGAAAATTCTCTTTGATCCTCTGTTCTCTAGACCATTCATATTCCGAAATCTTCTGGTTTGGTCCATTGTCATTCTCTTTGGTATTGACATTTTCTAGGGTTTCAATGCTCCTCAGATTGAGCATGGTGCTGTTCTGCAGCTCCAAATGTTCAGAATTAGGAGTTCTTATTTTGACGCGCGTGATGGGAGAATGGAGTCCAACGGTCAAATGGCTTATTTGTGGGAGCCAACTGGCAATATTACAATTTTGGTCTTTGGGATGTGGGAAAGTGGAATTAATTATATTTTAATAGATGGAATGCTCCTAACTCTTAACCCATAAAATTGATACGAATCATTAGACCATCCAATTTAGTGCTATTTATATCAGTTTTCCATATCCTTCAAGTAAATAGTAGGGTTTAACACGGTTCAACTTGGTCGGTTTGTAACAAATTTTCAAACCAAACCATTTAAAGGGGTTTGAAATTTTTTCAAACAAACCAAACCACTTCAATTAAATTTCAAATCAAACCAAATCACTTCAATTTCTAAACCAAACAAATCCAAACCACCTTTTCCGGTTTGGTTCGATTTAATAAAAAAATTGTACATCGAACAAGTTAAATCATAAATATTAATCTTACATATCACATTAAAATATATTAGTATTATTACGAATATTATAAACAAATGTTCTTCACTCCTAAAAATTCAATGCAACCTCTTGATCAATACTAATTGATGCAACATCTCCAGTGGTGACACATGATTCGTACTCTGCATATAGATAAGAATATAACAAATATATTCATTTATTACAATTAATGGTGTAAAAAAGCTATAAAATAAAGTGAATAGAAAGATCAAATACGATAATACCTTACACGACTTTTTCTGAATCATCCGATACTTCTACTCCATCCAAATATTGACGAATCATTATAGGTTCCTTATTATTGTGTAACCAATTCTTAGTGCAAATCATCGCCTCAATTATCTTTGCACTCAATAAACTCCTAAAAGAATCGAGAATCCGACTACAAGTAGAAAATACAGACTTAGAAGCAACTGTAGATATTTGAATGACTAACACGTCTTTGGCATTTTGGGAGACAATCTTGTACTTATTTCATTCAATTTCTACCAAATTAATATGTCGAAACCATCATTGGTCAAAT